GGACAGTAGCTAACGCCTGGGTCTGTAGGGTAAAACAGACCCTCGCGTCTCATTCAATTGCTAGGCAGATCTGCAATTGCCCCTAGGTAACTCATCTGTCAGCTGCCAATCTACTGCAAAACTTGTGTCATTTTCCCTTTTAAGAATTGCTTCAGCCCCATTATTTTATGCAAGTTACAACTCAATCATATTCAGGGGAAAAAACCAAAGCAAACAACGCTGTCTTATTTTAGAAATGCTATGACGCATTCAGAGCAAGGAGCTCAACAGACCGATTATGAACATTTGCCATGGAAAACCTTTTTATGGATGTTGCAGCAAAATTCCAATACTCAGATGCAAAACAACGCAAAGGTATTTATCTGCCACCACTATTACGAAGTTGAAGCTCCTCACTCTCATTCATTGTCAACAAACTCCTGGAGATAAGTGGGGAGCTAACAAACTTTTGGTCCAAATGGGAAACTGCAACACAGGGAGGGCTTAAGGGACCTGGACAGAGTCATGGCAGCTCCAAGTTCCAGCTGAGCCTCTTAATCTCTTCTCCACCCTACCTCTTCTCCAAGGGCCAAATTATGGAAAGAAATAAAAAATATATGACAAAAAATTATGAAGCAGGCAATCCAAAAAGAGCCTTTCTGAAATTTCTCTTACTCATGCTGTTGTGGATGGGCTGGCAAAAGGGGCCTTGACCCTGTCTGTAGTATCCAATTTTAAATGTGATACCTTTAAATGACACACTGGCTAAAAACAGGGCAGATCAAACCTTGCATGGTTTATTCTTTCTGCTCTTCACTGTACCATGAGTTGTTCTGGGAAGCTGTGCCCGCTGCTATGCATTTGCCCTGCTAGGCAGGCCATGGTTCCTGGCTTACTGTTCTTTTTCAGGGGGAACAGAGAATCTGTCAGACAAGCAGGGTGACAAGATGGGAAGACACTGCTGGTTCTCTCATCCCTCAGCATCAGTGATACCCTCCAGGTAAGCACATGCCCTTCTAGTCCTTCACCAGCACTGTGTACTCGAACTGCCCCACCTGTGGGCTGCTGAGGGTCTGCTGAAGGGACAGAGCCCAGCGCTCCAAACTGTGGGAGCTCTAGAGATACTAACAGCAGGGATGGAAATTAGACCTGCTGCTATGGCAACCTGGCCTCCTCCACTGGTGAAGACACCACACCTCCCCTCTGCTCCAGCTGTGAGGCGTTGATAAGGAACAGCAAGGAGAATTTCCATGCAGCCCAAGAATAGGAGCGGAGGAGGCTGACAGGCGACACCAGCAGGGTTAAGGATCTGACTGCCTGACCCACTCTTGGGACATGTTCTGCAAACCTTCTTCTACTCCAGTCTCCCACTAATGCAATAGCATCTTTTGTTGAGGAGGACACAGCAGCCAGAAAGATACCCTTCCCTCCCCACCACGTTTAGATGATCCGTTCTAAGGTCTTGGTGATTGCTTAGCCAGGGAGTATGCTCTGCTTTCCCCACCCCTATTATTCTGCCTTTACATCTCATCATTACCAGGGTCAGTATGCTCTGAAGTTTCAGGATGTCTCTGTGAATCCAGCTTCTCACAACAAGCTGCTGCTCCGTGGTGAGATGCTACCTTTGCTACAACAAGCCAAGCCATTACTTCCAGTGGTAACAGCCACATGCACTCTCCCTTCACAAGCCAGACATGAAGGACCAGACACAGAAATCCACATCCCTGTACTGAGTGGGTTACCAGAGTTTGGCTGCAGGCTTGCAGAGATACTTAGCCAAGAAGAAACATACAGCTTGGGAATCTAGCTGGAGTTTAGATGATCTAAAAGCAACACACAGTATCTTTATCAATGATCTGGATGAGGGGATCGAGTGCTCCCTCAGCAAATTTGCAGACGACACCAAGCTGGACAGGAGTGTTGATGTGCTGGAGGGTAGGAAGGCTCTGCAGAGGGACCTGGACAGGCTGGATCGATGGGCCGAGGCCAACTGTATGAGGTTCAACAAGGCCAAGTGCCGGGTCCTGCACTTCGGCCACAACAACCCCATGCAACGCTACAGGCTTGGGGAAGAGTGGCTGGAAAGCTGCCCAGGGGAAAAGGACCTGGGGGTGCTGGCTGCCAGGCGGCTGACCATGAGCCAGCAGTGTGCCCAGGTGGCCAAGAAGGCCAATGGCATCCTGGCCGGTATCAGAAATAGTGTGGCCAGCAGGAGTAGGGAGGTGATCGTGGCCCTGTACTCGGCACTGGCGAGGCCGCACCCCGAAGACTGTGTTCAGCTTTGGGGCCCTCACTCCAAGAAGGACATTGAGGTGCTGGAGCGTGTCCAGAGAAGGGCACCGAAGCTGGTGAAGGGTCTAGAGAACAGGTCTTATGAGGAGCGGCTGAGGGAACTGGGACTGTTTAGTCTGGAGGAGACCTTATCAGGGGAGACCTCATCGCGCTTTACAACTATCTGAAAGGAGGCTGTAGCGAGGTGGGTGTCGGTTCTTCTCCCAAGTAACTAGCGATAGGACGAGAGGAAATGGCCTCAAGTTGCGCCAAGGGAGGTTTAGATTGGACATCAGGAAAAATTTCCTTACTGAAAAGAGTGGTCAAGCATTGGAACAGGCTGCCCAGGGAAGTGGTGGAGTCACCATCCCTGGAAGTATTTAAGAGACGTGTAGATGAGGCGCTTAGGGACATGGTTTAGTGGGCATGGTGGTAGTGTTGGGTTGACGGTTGGACTCAATGATCTTAGAGGTCTTTTCCAATGTTAATGATTCTGTGATATATCAAATCAAAATGATTGTACAGGTTTTCATTGCCAAGCTTGGGAGTAAGTTAGCAGCCTCAGTCTGGCAGGAAGTATTTTGACAGCATTTCCCCTAGAAGCACAGAGCTGCAACACCACATCTACCTATGTATTCAGCCAAATTCCTGAGAAGCCAGCCAGATATTTATGCTTGGCAGGACACAGGGGTTTAGCTGTAAATAGGGAAATTCCTTAATCCTATCAATTTCCCCTAATAAGAAGGAGGAGAAAAAAGAAGAAAGAAAAATGTCATACGGAAACAGCATTAAAGCAGTGAAGAGAGTGACAAGGACTCAGCTCAGTACTGAGCTATGCGTTTGACTCTATCCTTGCACTGATTCTAGCTAGCATTGCAGGCTGCAGTAGGGTCAGGATTGAGATGGTATTACACGCACCTTACAGGAAAAATCCCCAGCCAAGTTAGGAATGAACAAACAAGCCGGGGTGAAAGTGGGGGATTCAAAACCCTTATGTCTGTCCTGTGGTAAGGCCTACAGTTGCAGGCTCAACTCTCTCCCCACAAAGGAGCAGATACAGTGTTCTGTTGCTTCCGGACAGATGCTGGTTTGTATTCAGCAGGGCACAGCCTTTAAGGGGATACAAAATGGGTTCAGAAGAGGGAGCAGTGGTATGTCTCTCATGAGCTTTAATCAAAAGCTCAGAGGCTACGGGCAGGGGCTGAAAGTGCAATAATCCAAAAAGCCCCGTAAGACAGACCAACTCCTTCTCTACCAAACATCAGCTAAATACAGGAAAAATGAGCAAAAGTGGAAAGAAGCCATGGAGAATCCAGGATATTCTGGAGAGTCTGTGAGAGGTACAGCCCTACCAGAATAATTCACTTTACTCTCATTAGGCAGGCTAGCATATCTGAGGCAGACAGCCGCTACCTCTGCAAGCACCCCTAGCAAATTACATCCCCATGGTTAACCCAAGGTGTCTTAAAGGCTCATTTGGACCTGACTTCAGACCTTTAGAACTGGTCCAAACAATCAAAGCTTGGCTGTTCAGCAGATGACAGCAAGCTAAACCAGCTTTAAAAACACATGAACGTGTCTTCAAAGCAGAAATGCACATTCAGGGGTATACACTCTGCACAAGGAGTCCTTTGCAAAACTTTTATGCAGATGCTTCTACTGCCTCATTAATGAGACTCATTGGCCATTTCATTCTCCCTTCCTAAAGTCCTGCCCAAACGTAAGAGCAGGTCTCTCAGAAAACATAGCTCATGAAAAACCTTGCCAAGAAAACCTGTTTGTGTCAGCAAGCTAGGAACATTAGAGCACTCCTGGGAGTTGCTCTAACATTATCACTCTTTCTCACTGTTCAACTGCCTTTACCAGCCCCCCTCCCTGGAAGGTCCTATTACTAGGAAGTAATAAGGTCTCACATAGAAAATAGGAGGGCACTGAACTCTGTTAGTTTTTTACAGAGATTTTTCCAGTCAGCCTCTCTGTCCTGTTATGCCAGCTACATGAGCTTTAAATGACTAAATAACCATCCCCTTACAGCCGAGGGTTTCTGTATTTGCAGGAATGTATTAACAACATTCCCAGTTTGACAACCCTGATTCCACCCCGTTAGCCTGGAGGAGAGCAATTTCAGTCTCTGCCTCTCACAGAAATTCCTGTTCAGACACGCAAGCAAGTTGTTCAGTGAGCAGTAGAACTACTGAAGAACGGATTTTAACAGAGGTCTCTTCCATGGATTCTCTTATGCCTAATAAAGGTGTGACGTTGCTGACTTTTCACTCAATGAGACTGCCTCCTCTCTCTGTCTGCCAGCTTTCATAAAATTTCTAAAAGCTCATGCTCTTTGAGGCTGACTTACACCTGTCTTGAATTTGGCTGAAACAAGACAGCAGATTCAAAAGTCTGTTGGGAGGAGATGACATACACCTCATTTCTTTAGAAAGTAAAACAAAAAACATTACTTCAGTAAGAAGTGCACAGGGAGGATTCTTTTTAAAAATAATCCTTCTCACCACCCTTCTCAGCTAGCTTCACTCTCTAAAGCAACCTAGGTCATAAATATTGCAAGTACAAGTTTGACAAAGGTTCCACTGTAGCCAGCAAGCTGCCTTTACTGGAAACTGGATTTCAAGCTGGCATTCGCCAATGTATCTTTCCTCCCTGTATAAAGCTACTTTTGCAAGCAGATAATTGAACAGAGTTAGTTCACAGACCTGCCAGCCTTTCTCCCTCCCTCTCAAATGTGTAAAGCATACCTGGAAGCATCTAGGAATGGCTTGTAGGCAATGGTTACCCACTCTTCTTTGTTGGAAGAATACCTTGGCTCCCTTGGGGTTTTGGCTTCTGTATCCAAGTCCACCAGGTAGTGGCATTTGGAAATGTCAATCTGCAGAAAGACAGACATTCTTGTGGTTTATTTCCTGTAGGCTTCTGGTTGTATGTGTTCATTTATACAGGCTGTTATTTATCAATGAGAAGGGGGTTAAATTTCTAGCAACAGGTGAAATGCTTCATGCAGGATACATGGTAAAATATTTTGAATCTTTTCAAGGAAAACCTTTATGGGGGAATACAAGCTACCACTACTGCTCTGGTCATAGGAGGAGAGTCCTAGGGTCCCTCTCTGAGGAAGTACCACTGCCAGCTCTCTTACTGAGAGCTGGAACTGGTACTGTCAAGTCACAGAAGGGAATTTGAGGCGGCAGAACCAATTCTGTTGATGTTTTTCCTGGTGGTTGTGTAACTAGCTATTAAAGACTTCTTACAATGCTGACTCCACAAGCTCCCCAGGCAAAAGACTTCACTATCTTTATTGTTAGAAAGCTTTCCTGATGTCTACACTGAATTTTTATTGTTAGAAAGGTTTCCTGATGTCTACACTGAATCTTTTTCTGTCTCAGTTTATGCCTGTTCCTACTTGTTTTACATCATGAACATGGAAAACATCATTTTCCATGTGATAGTTTTTACCTACTAGAGTTCTGTTATCTGAAGATGGCTCTTGTCTTCTCTACAACTCTATTTTACTCTATAATCATGTTTTCTACCCCTGTGATCATTCTTGTGGGTCTTCAATTAGTCACATCTATCCTGAATGCAGTGCCCAAATCAGATGCAGTACTTTAATGAAGGACTTTCTAATGCAGAGCAGCAAAGCAAGTTGCACAACATGGTCCTGTGCACATAAGCCTGTATGTGGCTCATCTCTTTATACAGCAGCATGGCATTACTAAGTTGTATTCATCCAGTGATTTGCTGCACCCCTGGATCCTTTCCTGAAGGACTTGTGCCTAACTCGCTGGTCTTCAACCTACATGTATTCACCTAATTATTTCTGTCTAGTGCACTGTCCCTACTAAATTTCATCCTTTTTTTTTTTTTTGGATCCTTTCTCCAATTTGTCAAAATCACTTTGAATTCTAATTACGTACTTTCTCCCACATCATTTGTTATCTAATAAGCATACTGCCTATTCCTCCTTCCCCCCTGCAAATCATTGATAAAAACTCTGAAAAGGACCTTTGCAGTTTCCAATACATCCCCTCATTTTGAATGATCTATGGATAACTACTCCTATCACTATTGTAACAGCAATTCATGAATTCTGCTCCAAAGTGCATGGACAACAGTGAGAAGGGCACCTTATGTCAAGGCACATCCAGAGGAATATTTCTGTAGACCAGAGGAATACTAAACATGGATGCTGGGAAGTGTACCAACTCAGCACTCGTTCGTCACGATCATGAACTGTTTGTAATGTATAAACATCCAAAGACACTGCCAATTAACATCTTGTATAGGTGCTGTCCTGGCCCTAAAGAATGTACAGTCAAGTTCACACAATAAAGGCTTGACCCACTGCCCAAGAAAGACAACAAAGTACATGCTAGATCAGGCTGAGGGGAGCCAGTGCCTCAGGCTCCCCCGTTTATCCTCCTGTAAGAAACAGTGTATCTGCCAAATTTCTGCAAAAGAAATCCCCTCACTCACCTAATTTTTCATGCCTTCTTTGGAAGTGCTTTTACAATCAGTTGCACACAATTCCAGCACATTTGGCTTGGAATACATACAGACCAATACGGGTTACCCACAAGGATCACACAAGCTCCACAACCTGTTAACTCTGCAAGCCTCGTGGTACCGGCAGGGCTTAAGCAGAATCATGGAAAACAGTAAGTAGCTCCGGTAGGGTAAGCTTGTTGTATGGCACAAATTATGGTGGGGTTTGTGCATGAATAACCTTCCTGTAGCACTGACGAACCTCATTGCCTCACTTGCAGTAGATGGACATCACATTGCACCTCTCAGACCATGTGGACTTGGTATCAGCACAGTCATGCCTTTATCAGCTGCCTATGACGCAAATAACTGCTCTGCCCTGACCAAAATGTTTGGCGACACTCTGCCAAATTATGAAAATGCATTCGAGGAAGCAACATCACAGAAATTAATTATGTGTGTCACCTCCCAGTTAAATGAGCTGCGGGCAATGTCTTCAGGAAACTCGCATTATGCAATCTTCTCCTTCCTGATGGGGAGAGTGCTCTTGGATATGCACAGGCTGTACTATTCATTTAAATGAATATCCTGTGTCCTTTCTGGCTAACAGCTCCCGCCTCCTGCCCTCTTCTCCCCACTCCTCACAGGTACCCCTACAGATGTGCACTTGAGCTGCTGAGGAATAAAAACTCTGCCAAGACAAATGTGAACTGTCAGCTACAAAGAAGATTTGAGTTCCTAACAGGACAAACTTCCTTTTAATAATAACCATCAGATGTGAGATAAGTTTCACACAAGGTAGCCCAACAAGAGGCTACATTGTGTAGAAACCTCTGCATTGAGCATAAGAGATCTAGAGGAGAGGACAGGTTACAAATGAGGGCTGATGTCCTCCTGTTGAAGATCTAGTTGTCTTTAAGTGATCTAAGTCACATTTTCAAAAGTGAAATAATCCCAAGCCTAAGGCCATGTTTAAATTGTACCAGGGTAGCTATACCATTACAATACAACAGAAAAATGAGCCCCTTATGGATGCAGTGTACAGCAGCAAGGCTGAGCTTTTGCTGGCATAATGATTTTCAAAGCAAGTTCTACCAGTTATTGCCTCTGTACTTGGGTATTTTGCTGACACTAGGTTTTGTCAGCCAAGGGTCACACTTCCTCACATCTGGAACTGGCAAAAGCTTGCAGTAGTGACCTGAGAGGCAATAGAAGTCAACAGGACTGATGCTTGCAACTATCTTATGCTCTTGTGCCACTTCCAATCAGATTAATCTGAAAGTTCTATGTCCAGTAACTGAGAATGCACAGAATTCTTGGATGTTTTTTCTGGCTCCGTTGGTCTGCAAGCCGTCCTTGTGGCACTCCAGTTTTCCCAACTGCCAAAGGGGACTAATGATTCCCACTTCTGCCTCTGATATGTTATTAAGCATTGTACATTAAAATGTAGTACAGTATTTTGAAATTTCTCAGAAAAGATACCAGTGACATACAGCACATCCCTAGCAATTATTGGTGGTTTCCATCAATAATCTAGATATTCTGATTTGGGAGACATCAGGGAACTAGAATACATGTATTTAGATATAAAAAAATTACATCACCAGAGTCTTTCCTGAGGTTAAGTGGAACAGAAGACAGGGCATAACTTCTGATCAATAAATATCTGCGAATTGTAACATGAGCCTCATTAGTTCTGAAGATGTTTCACCCAGGTGGAATACAAGTGAGAAAGGAAGGAGACTTAACATGGGAATTTAGGAAAAATACCAAGTTTTCAACTTGATTTCTCAGTTTACAGCTGCCACCAATCCCTGCATCCAGCAGGACAGGGTTATCAGAGTGCCGGGCCACTTTGTGCCATCTAATCCTAGCCCTATTAGATCAGCAAAAACCAAGGAAACTGGCAAGCAAATGAAAGGTCCAGCCAGCTCCTCCCAAACACCCTGCCGCTGCCAAGCCTGTGTTTGAACTCTCAACTGCATGAACAGGAGGATGGGTGCATGCTTCTAACTCCCACTCCCAAGTATAAACAAGGACACCTTCCACTGAGCAATCCACTGCACTTTCAGGAAAGAAATTCATGAGGAGGCTAAGTGACCTGTAAGGAAATTCTTGTGCTAGACTAAGAACTTCCATCATGCATCTTGGTGTAAACTGGTTACAAGTTTTTTCTGAAGACAGCAACAAAACCAAATCATCGTGCTAAATTACTGTCTGGAAACAGGCTCCATGGCCCCAGCATCACACAGCATCATAATCAGATCCTGTCAACAGTGCACACACAAAAAAATTGTCTCTCAGCTGGTGACACAAATGCTTGGTCGTTCTTCACGCCGCAGGGGCTCTGAACAGAATGTAGATTGCAATCTCACCTTTTTCATGCACAAGGTTTTCAATGAGCAGGCTACGGGGGCGTTCTTGTAAGGTCAGAGACTACTGACCTTTGTAAAATGACAGACCCCTCCAGACTTTTTTTTTTTTTTGCCAACAGTCAGGACAACAGGGGCTGGAAGGGAAAGACTAAGGTCCTTATCAGGAGGAGGACTCAAATTAGTAAGTTACATGCCTGATGAAAGGAACATGATCAAGTTTGGGGAACAACAAGTCCTGGTCTATTTGGTTTCACTGATTTTGACACGGAGGGCCCATGACCTTCATGAGAGATCTATATGCACTCCTTAGGAGGCCAGCTCTCCCAAGTGACAGTGTTCCCTTTAATTAACAATGGCAGAACACAACATACACAGTTCTGTCTTATTGATTGCACAACAGTGTGTACGTTATCAAGTCAGAAAAAAAAGGCAATGTGTGATGACCAATGTGTTTCAACAAGGAAACAAATTTCCTTAGAGTTACTGCATAAGTCTGTCACATTGAAAAGGTGAAGAAAAAGGCAGGGCAGCTATAGCTGGATTAGTCAAACGAAAAACTAAGGCCCCTTAAACCAGGTTTGCAAAGGCCTCTACTCATCAGTTATCTTAAATGCAGGCAGCTGAGATTCTCCAGGATGACTATGTCTTATTATGTCTTACTCCCTCAAACTCTTCCCACATTTCAGTTTGCTCTCCCACAAAATTTTATTGCAAACTTCCTTGGACATGCTTGAATTCACTTTTCTGAAGCACCTTTGGGGTTTATTGTAACAATTTAGGCTGAAAACAATTTAATTAGGTGGATACCAGATGGCTCCGTGGCATCACAACTGAGTGGCAAATGAAATTACACCATGGGAAACTCAGCTGAGGAGAATGTTGAATCCACTTCTTGCACTGTATGAGAAGAACATTCCAGGCCCTAACAGAGATTCTGGCTCATTAGCAAAAAGACTCCCAAACCACTACCCAAGTTTTTCTTTAAGTGATGTAGAATGATTCAGAGAAAGACAAGTTACTGCCTCAAGCACCAAGAGTGAACTCACTTCTCTCATTCTAAGTGCTCCCCTAAAAGGGCTGGCACTTCCAATGCATATGAATTACCTGCCAGCTGAAAGACAGATTTCTCTTCTACCATTCCAAGCACAGTGCATTCTTACAAGTTACACTGAAGCTAAGGATAATATTCATCCTGGTCAGAGGGCCAACACAGCACCTATGCATTTATTTGGGGATTTACACAAGACTTCAGCGGTGTGCAGACCTTGAAATGTTTCTTTGTAGAAAGAAGTCAGTCTTAGTGAATGCAGCTGCAAGGAATTTCTAAATTACATTCTATCCTCTTCTGTTCTCCTTTCCTTTTCTTCCTCCCACTCTTTTTTTATTTGATGCAACCGCTATGCTAAGTGGTGGAGAACTACATTTGATCACATCCTGAATAACAGGAGTGGGCACAGTATAGTACAGAGATGGAGCTAAGGGCATAGCCTGCTGCTGTACTGCTGCAGCCACATGTCTCTCACTGTTGTCTGGATGGATGTTAGCCTGGCCACACAGAGGAAAAAAGAAGTTTGTCTGGTTTACCACAGATAAAGTTCAACTGTTTTAAGCAAAACCAGAGATGCTTTACTAATCACTCAAATGCATATTTCAAAAATGAAACCAAGCTTCAGGTGGTTCTTACGGTTCAAAACAGAGCTAAAGGGAATTGGAAAAGAAGTGAAAATAAAGTGGTAAAAAAAACTTCCTCTGAAGTCAGGAGTTTTTAACAGTTTCAGCTTTTAGGCCTAATCCACTATTCCTGCTTGGATACATCTTTGTAAGAGATAATACTCCTTATCTCTTTCTTAGCAGTTTCAGAAACAAATGCATCTCCCTAGTAGGACAAGTACAAGTTAAGTGCTGTTCAACATGATTAAGGAAGGAAGAACTGCAAAACAAGAAGATCAAATCACTCTTTTCCCCAGTGTCTCATAGCAACAGAAACACTGAGATTACTCTTGTTTTCAAGCAGAGCAGTAATAGATACTTATACTTGAAACAGATCAGTCCCATTTCTGCAGCCATTAATTGGTTTTAAGCTGTCCATGGCTCTCATAATCCTTTTGAACCATTTGTTTTCTCCCCTTTAAATGACCAACAGATTCATGCCATTTAGATTTATTCGCTATGATGGTCCTTTCCAGTGCTTGCTAACTTTTTTTTTTTTTTAAAGTCTAGATATGCTTGCACTTGTAAGCTCACTAAACTTGAGAAAAGATCTTGTTCTCTTGGTGTTATTAGCAGGTCAGAAGTTTTAAAACCCCATTTAAAATTCACATTTAGTAGCTAATTTCTAATGTCCTAGGCCCTTTTGCTTGCATGAGAAATAACAAAATTGTAGGGTGACATTAAGAAACAACCATGAAACAAAAGCGTGTTTTGCTCCGTTAGTCACAGGCTGTGCACCAGCCAGCTGTCTGTGCTAAAAATATGCCACAGTTAAAGATTTCATAAATTAAATGCACTGCAGCAGACAGCTTCTCTCAGGTGGGAACACGCCTCCTTCTCATTTCCAGTAACTACATAATGAGGCTCAAAATAAGAGAGCGTTAACCCAGAAGATTGATCCCTTCTTTTAGCCACACAGTTTGCTCCTGTGTTATAGTACTGCCTTCCATCCACTACTGTGAGTTAATCACAAGTGCTTGTACAATGTCTAACAGGCCAAAGTCATGAGCCACATAAACAAGCATGTATACTGCCTTCAGCCAGGATAGACCCACTCATGTAAACCAGAGACCTGGTCCATCACATGTGAATGCTTCCTATATACTGATGGACATACCAAAGCTATCCTCCAAGGTGCTAAGAGAGACTGAAGAAAGGACTATGCATTTCTTGGCAGTTCCTCTCATTCAACCCTTAGGACAAAAAAGAAAGGATGACTAAATATCTAGTGCACTGCAAAGAATATTCAGTGCACTGTTAAGATTTAACCTGCTAAATAATTTTAAAGAAGTTAGCTGACAATAATTTTAAAATATTCATATGTGTGCACTGTTTCTGTTTAGGCAACACAATACAAACAGGAAAAGTAACAAATTAATAATACCAGTATACATTATCTTAACAGATTCCTACTGAAATCACTGAAGCAATTGTTTCAGTGAAGTTCCAAATTAAATTCCTCCTTCTCAGTTGCAAATATGATGAATACATTTATATTTAAAAAGAAAGGAAAGTACAAAGGAAAATTTCAATCCCTGCTCGGTGACAAACATTTTCTGGGGGGGATTTCAAACTGCTCACTCAGTTCACTTTCCTGTGATCACAGTAACACATTATACTAAACCCAAAATTGCAGCAACTAGGACTTATTACTTCTTCTGTTTCTTTTATTATTATTATGTCTTTAAATGAAAAATAGGCAGATGAAATGCAAACAGAAACCACTCACATAAATGGGGAAATTTCCAAGTGCTGCAGACAGCCTATTTTTGTTCTGTAACTTGTATGGTCCCCGGGAAACAAAATGGAGAGATGCAATCATAGGCATTATATTAATACAAATTATACAGTAAAGTAAGGAAAAGAAAACAGGACTATAATCCTTACATATCGAGATGGCTCTTCCTTGTTTTGGTCATTCATGTCAGTGGGAATGATCCGTGTGGCCATTGGTCCCTTAGCAAAGGGTTTTGGTAACTGGCCCCTGAATTCTGACAGGATGAACTGGAGCTGCCAACTGCAGAGAACAGCGTCAGAAAGCCCAGCAGGAAAATGCAGGAGCTAGTGACATTTTGTGTAGAGAAAACCAAAAGCATAACCAAGGACATTTCATTCCTGAGGGTAGACAGCCCTGCTAGAGAGCAGTCACACTACAAGTTTTCAGTAGCTTGTGGTCAACATAATCTGCTGACAACAAACTTCAGAATCCTTTGTTTTGGATATGCTGATGTCAACAGAGATACAAAGTCTTGAATGTTACTCCCATAAATACTGCTTGTGAGAAGTGCCCCTCCTTATGAATCTCACCAAATTGTACCTTTTACATTAAAGAACTTACTTATCTGGCAGGAGAAAGCTACTTGGAAATCTGTGCCACTCCTTTCCCACGCACACATTAACCGGTCTCCCCTCTGGCACAGTGTGAATACTTGGGTCAATAGCAATCCTGTGAAATTCTGGGTACAGGTCCAGGGGCCCATGGTAGCCTATTGAAGGCAGAAAGTTGTAAATACGGCTAAAGAAATAGGTGATATTTACATGACTACTTTTGAAAGATGACAAAAAATTGTCCATGCATAACTCTTTAACTGATAACTTCTTGCATAAATGAATTGGTCTATGCTAAAAAGTGGCTGGATTCCAAAGCTCCCCCTCCTTTCAGAAGTGCTTGTACCCTACCACCTTTATTCACATTCTCCTGTCCTGACTGTCAATGGCTACCATCAAGCAAAAAAATATCGATGAGGTGGGAAGGTTCACTTGCATGGCTCTGATTCAAGATAGTACTTAAGGACCATATCTAATCCATCTCCACTAAGAACACATGCACCTAATTACAAGTTTTACTTGGGAAAATGCTTTCTCAAGTGGGATCATATGTTTGAAAGTTATAGTATCTGCTTTAATACTAGTCTGGGTACCGGTTTTATATCAGTACAGTTGTACTGGCTGAAGGTGAAGGGCAGCAGATTTTTAACTGATATAATTCTAGTGATACATTCATACATACATGAATACATACATATGTTCATACATACATGTATGAATGTGCATATACATACACACACACACGTATAATCATTCATTAATGGTGACCATTAGAACTTATTCCTTTCCCTGCAACAATGACATCCAAACTTTCGAGGTTCCATGTTTCTACCGTGCTGCTATAGTCAAAGCAGCACAACTTTGGCAGGCCTTAAGACTTGCCAAGACCAATAACCAGGAAAGCACAGAACAAGTCTAAAATACCAACCTCTGAATAAGGCAACAGAGCGTGACAATGACAAAAGGCCAAAGAGAAAGACAGTCCCTAGAGCCAGCCAGTTGGAGGAGACTGTGTAGTGTTCCAGGCGGTAGCGCTGGAACATGAAGTGGTAACATTTCTGAGGAAAGATTGAAAAAACAAGACAATATAAAATTACTCAAACTCTGGTATGTTTAGCAAAATTCTGTTTTTCATAAGGACCTTACAGCAGTGCCTGCATCTCCCACCAGATCTTTGGTCTTCATTTTTTCATTCAGACCCATAAAAAACGCAAAGAAACTCACATGGTTCAGTCACATTTCTTAACTAATAATCTAGGTATTTAAAGACGTTTTCAGCTCTTTTCCCTAGGAAGGCCTTTAGTCAAGCTGTAAAGTGCTCTCTACTAGGGCTCCAGCTTGGTTGCTCCCATGTGAACCAGCAGCAAGTGTCCCTTTCAGACACTTTCCCTACACAGACCAACCTCATTTTCAATGCCGGACTGACTTCCTCTCTAACAGAAGTTCCATGACCCAGATTTACTGAGTGACCTATGGTTGTTTACCCTGTCTGCACAAACTACAGCTCTGAAGTGGATAAAAGAACACAGAGCACATTCTGCATCCACCTTTAAACACAAGCCACTCTGAAATTGTTAAAAGAAAAGCCCTTTAGGTTTTTCTAATTTAAAAGCCTTTCTGGGAATACCCAGGAGGAACTACATCCAATACTTGGCTTGGTCCCTCCCTCCTGCTCTGCCTTTCTGCAGGAGTGATTATTCACTTCCTATTCTAATCTGGTTTCTGTTCCTCTTGTCTTGTTTGCATTTTTCTCACAACAGCCAGATCCACATGATTTGGAGGAGTAGACTCTGACAACCTTGTACTACTAGTTCTAAATTCTCAGCTGGATACTGAATACTGGACAAAATGTCGTCAAACAGTGTTAAAATATGCAGGATAGAAATATACACTAGATTTTCCTAAAGCCATATTTGGCAAAGGTCCTAAACCATTGCCCTCTGATGAATGTTCTGACAGCACACAGCAATTCTCAGTGAGAGCCATAAAACTGCTGACATTACAGAGCTTGATCCTGTACGAATACAAGGACTGAAACTCATCTGGGGTGCTCCAGCTTAGCACTGCAAAGCATCAGCAGTGATGGCAGATCAACAGTCAGAATAGCAACTGACCAGGGGAAGTGCGAGAGTGATTTGAGGGGTGTAGGCAATGCTGGTGGGGAGCCCAGGACAGGAACAGCCAGCAGTGGTGCACAGCAGGACAGAGAAGTAATACCGAATGAGGCCGAACAGCTGGAACAGGCTCTAACAGGGACTAGTGACTGCATTCCTGTTCCTCTTTAACAGAGGAAAGATGAATAATTTTGAGCTTTGGGAAGGTTTATATCAATCTATATTAGTGCTTTACTCTATGAAGCGTTTCAAGTGATATTTACTAAACACCCAATTTTTGGCTCTTCCAAATGTCCAACGCAATTTCCCGAAGCCTAAACGAGATCACTTTTCATTTTTCAAATCAGTGAAGGATTCCTACTAGGATACAATAAAATGCATTTCCTACAGACACATCCCTGACCCTTAAAGCTTGCTTAACAGCAGACAAAGGAGGCACAATGCTATAAGCAAGTTACTAATCCTCATGACATCCCTTGGATGTTGTGTTGTATCGGCATTACAACATCACAACTGCTCCTCACCAGAAATTCCCACTTGGGGTGGGAGAACAACTCAAAGTCATCATGAAATAATTAGTGGCAAGGAAATATTCTCAAACATTTATCACTTCACACAATCCTGGACAAGCTCCTAATGTGATCACCTTATAAAGCCATAAAATCTGATCTTTTTTTGCTGGGCTGTTAAACAGTCTGCACTGAAGTCCAAGATTATTAGATGAGCTCATTCTGTACAACACTCAGTAGGGAAATCCCAAATATTTTTGCTTTTACATCACATCTTACAGAGGGCTAATATTTTTCCACATACTCTCAATCAACCTGTACAGGAAGATTATGGTTTAACTTGTAAAATCAGCAACACACACACACTTCAGTATTAGAATGGCTGTGCGTTTTGTTTCCAGAGTCTTACATCTATCCATGAAACATGGTTCAAAAAAGAAAACTGTACCAGCTAACAGATTAAAGACAATGATCAAGAGTTATGCATAGGACAGTCCTGAATTGTATAATCACTGTAGATTGTGTCAGAGACACAGATATCCTGCAGATGTTCCCAAACTTTGGGAAGCAATGTTAAAGAGGTCAGCTAGCAGTTATGCTTCCTAAAGGTACGATGAGCTCATTAAAAAAACACATTCCACTAAAACTTACCTGAAGAGCAGACAGAGCCACAGCACTGCAGAGACAGATGAGAGGGTAGATGGGAAAGAGGAACCTCTCTTCTTTGTGGGGCTGACTGAAGAAAATCATGATCCAAATGTACATAGGAGCTAGTGTCAGCCAGTAGGGACGGCCCAGATTCTGAACTGAAAGAAACAAACACTCAGCAAAGTAGTAATGTAAGAATGAGGGGTCTATCCTATTCCCCCTCCTGCACAATCATATCTCACATTCAAAAGCCCATTCTTCAGACCCAAACCATTGCCTTCAGACACAAGCACACCATGTTCTGAGCAGCCATGTTGCTAAAATCCATGTCCAAATTTTGATCAGAGAATTTTTGAAGATTCCTACAATACTAACAATTTCAACAGACTTTAGAAGACCAAAAGCAGAAAATAAGGGACTGCGTTACTGAATCCAAGCAAGAGACAAAACCCATCAAGAACTGACATGTCTAAACGGGCAGTCAGAAGAACTAGATTTCCTGCTGTGTATTATGCTATACATACAAAGATCAGAAAGGATCTCCTCTGGACCTACCCTTCCACTTACAAATGGCTGTTTAGCGACTGAAGTTTCCACAACCTTCATTGCTTCATTACAAAAATAAAAGCATGAAAGGTCTCTCAGGCACCTTCTCCTTAATGGAGGAAATAACTGATTCGAAAATAACAACAATTACCCCTGAATTTTAGTCACACTGAGGAGGGTTCTACAGTGCCTGACAATTTTCAGTCCCTTTTCTGCCCCCTTGCTACTCCCAACAGCAGAGTTAAGCAATTAAGCTAACGGCATTTCACAGACAATAAGAACAAAGCACTTGGCAGAATTGCTCCTGCTGTTAAGTACAAGAGCACCAAGTGAACAGCGGGAAATCTTGCATTTATAGGATCTCCTACTGAGCTTTTACTGCTTTCTGACAGTATGTCAGTCATATCCAAGGAACAGATATAAGCAAATACCTGTTAACATATATTTTCAGCAAGGATTATGATGTTGTGGTTTCTTGTACTCAGTAAAAAAATCAGAGAGCAAAGCACTAACTGGACTGATGAATCTGGAGGCTGCTGTAGACACTAATGAATCCTCCCTAGGAAAATGGCAGAGAAGAATTCACACTTCCTCAATACCTTTTTCCTCTCTAGAGTCACTTGCCAAATGTCATGTGTTTAACCTGATGTCATTTCATTTAAGAGAAAGCCCAACGTGAAGCAGGGAATATTCTGGTTTCTTTCTCTACTCTCAGCACATTCACACCTATGAGGACACTTCCCAAAGCATGGGGTAGCAAGACTGACCTGCCAGGGCTCAGTCCTGCGAGTTGAAGAGTGCTTTTCACAGTGCACAGAAGAGTCCAGGTTCAATCCCAACATGGGCAGCAGCAGCAGAGACCAGAGGATGCCTATTTGTAGGCTCAGCCCCAACAATCAAAAAGGAAGTAATAACCCTGTTCTCTCAAGCTGCTGCAGAAAACATTCTGGCAGTGGTATAAAAAAGTAACAATGGAAGAGCCAGCAAAAGGTTCCCCAAATAAAGCTAAAGGCTACTATTTCCAGCTGCATGTAAGATGGAAACAACAATGGGTACACGGTTTCTTTCCCCCTTAAGATTTCTGACAGGGCTATTTCTAATGCATTTGCATGTCTGGCTGAAGGTTATGTACCATACAACTTGTTAAGCTTACTCTGGGTATGGATAGTTCAGCCTTGATAACACATTGTTCTTCCTGAGGTGGAGGCAGGGAACACAGGAATCATCCCTAAAGAGAAAAACATGTTTCTCTTTTGCAGACAGCACGTAAGTAGGTGCATCCACCGGAGGGTACTGAGGGAGCTGGC